TGAACTCATGCAAATTACTCTCACAAGGCTGAAGATAGTCTCTGTGATCATCCCGGTGAGTAATACTACATCAAAAGCATCATTTCGAAAGATAAGCTTGCAGGTATCAAGATAACAGAGAGATTAGAGAAGTACTTCTTCTTTCCTACAAAAGCTTTTATTTCTATTTTATGTCATCATTTTTCCAGTTTACTAAGACCCATATACGCAGAATATTTCTAACCTACAAAAGAAAGGGTCAGTTGGCAGAAGATGTAGGAAAATTCTCTCTGTCAGTGCCTAGGCAGATCTTTAAAATGGAATCAGAGCCTTAAACATTAGTCAGTTTAAAATCTAGTCCATTTTATCTCATTGCTTACACAGACAAATTAAATATAAATGTAATCCCTCATTAGAACAAATGAAAAGATATGATCTGAATCAGGAGCAAATCAGAGGTTTGCTCCCAGGGCCGCAGTGAAGAGCAGTGACACCCAGTGGCACAGCATCTCTTGCACTTGATGATTATGTTCAATGAGACAATTTCAAGACAACTATGCTATTGGTTTACAGATACAAAGAGGATTACAATTACTCTAGCATGGAGAATCAGATTTCCATTCCTCGAGAATGACTAAAATTCCCCCAACTTTTTCTGTCCACAGATGGTACTGATTTGAACAAACCATTCCATGCTTCCTAGAGTAATCATGCAGCTTGTTTAAATTTTCTAAACATGACTCAACTATGATGAAGTGATCACTGTTCACACTAAAAACAATTAAAGCCAAATATTGCATCTTTGTCAATTATTCTTTCAGATTAAATTGGAACTGTAACAAAGACTTACGTATCTGCTCTTATACACTGCTGCTTTGATATGTGCCTAACAGGAGCTTTATTATTATTCCTGGTTTCCAGAAAGGTGCACTTAAAGAAAAGGCATGAAAAAGGCTGTGTTTGTGATGGTGTAAGGACACTAATTGTCTAGGACTGTGCTCTGATTAGCTAGCTGGCATTCTAGTGCTAATCCCATATTTAAATTTCCCAGGAATCATGGGCAGGACCCCTTAAGTCTCATCTGACAGTCTTTCATGAATTATATTGCATTTGCTATAATTCAGCTAGATCTGGGAGTAGGGAGTTTTTCAATGTCTGAAATTTTTGGTGCAATATACTCTATCATTTTCCATTTAATAGCTTTTAATTCAGCTTCTGAAAGCCAGCCAGGGAGCTGGCAGAGAGGCTGGCCGTGAAATGCTGGTGAATTCAGTTTCTGGACTGGAGGAGGAAAGAGGTATTTTCAGGTTCATCCACCACTGTTCACATGATGGCCAAACTCCAGCGAAAAGTGCCTGAAGCCAGATCCACATGGGATTTTAAGCTCCTAAAACCTATTTACGTGCCTGAACTCCCACTGAAGTTGACAGGAAGCTAAGCACCTAAATAGAAGTTACTTTCACAGATCTTGGCCCTCGTTCCCTACGCTTGTCTGGCTGCAACACTAATCAGCCCTTCCAAAGCTGGTGGACTGCTCTGAGATTAAGTTTTTATTTGATAACCTAAATGAAAGGAAATTCCTGGTAGAAAAAGCACCAGGACTGTGCAAAGAGTCAGATCAAGTTGAACTGGGCCAGTGGAACAGGTTTAAATCAACAGAAATACTCGGCAGAAAAAATCTTATTCACAATGCAAAGATAACCTAAGGGCAGCAAAGGACACACACAAAAAAATCTACTGAGAAAAGAGAGAAGTTACGGCTTTCTGTAAAGACTTCTGTGGAAAGCAACGACTACAGCTGCGCGGGCCGGGAACAGAAGACAGTAATATGATATGGCATAGTTCCTAACAAAGTTAATAAAAAAAAGTCTGCCTACAGAACAGCTGCTTGTAGCTGGAGTTTGGATTAAAAGAACAGCGGCAGCCTAGAAGTCTGTTGGGTGGTATTAAGAACATCAATAGGAGGAAAGTGAAGAACAAAGTAGAACAGATAGCAGTGGGCATGCAACAAGAGTCTTCAGAAAATGGAGGTATCTGAAAAGAAAATGAATATTCTGTATTGATTATCTCTATTAATTTTTGAAAGCTTAGTTACCCAAAGGAGTTCCCTGGGTTAAGCTGATATCCCTGATCATACTAAATAGTACTCTAGTATAGACTGCTA